ATTTTTCTTTCTCGGCCTACGGTCTGACATTTTTCTAAAAAAAAAAAAAAAATCAACATCTTCAGGTTAACAAACACCCTTACCTCATCTCTGGGGTCAATTTCACATGAAAGAAATATATACTAATAGGTAAAAAATTTAAGTTTTCATCTGTTCTTGTGTCTCTGTGGAGATCTCGACCTCTGTGAAACTGGACCTCTGCTGCCATTATATGATAAAGAAAAGTTACCCAGTGTAATGTAAAGGATGGCCCTTCGTAGTGAAACAGGTGGAGTATATTAGTCAATGTGAAAATTATTATAGTCTATAACGTTTAGTGCCAGGGTGAATTTGACTCCAAAACAGCACAATAAGATTTTTTATAAAACTTCTTATCTGAAGTAGATATAGGGTAGTACAACGTTCAGACATCATTTTAATAACTTTCTACCTTTTCCGCTGATTGAAGACAAGTTCCGCGGCTTGATATGACCAGTCAACTAACGTTAGCTGCCAAGCTAGACGAAGTCGTTGCCCTACCGTTATTTTTTGCTCGTGAACCCTGTTTGTATTCCTTGAGCTCGAGTCTTACGTGTAGCAGAACGACTGTAAAGCATCCACAATAAATTACCACGAAATTGCCACAAACTTGATAAACATACCTAGCGAACACACTTCTTAGGGTGACGATACACGGCAACCTTTTGAGCAATGTTGCTGGCAAATGTTTCTCGGGCACTTTCCTATTGATATTGGGCCACAAAGTTCTATTTGAAAACCTTCGATCAGCAGCTGGCAACTTTTCGCGATCATCTAGATACAGCAGATGAGCTGCCCTGTGGTTGATATTCTTCTGACAGATACAGAGAACATAAATCGGTAGCTATTTATAACCCAAACTTAAATGATATTTTTTTTTCATCCCGAACAACTAAGCAACGCCTGTAGAAGGACATTACTAAGGGTACATACAAAATGTGTATACAGTAGTCGAAAAGCATGGAGAACAGCGAGTTAGTTCCGGTAAAATCAGACAGTGATATTGATTGGTTGTCCACGGTAAAAACGTCATTCTTTGCGACAGTAACTTTATTTAGTAGCTACTAACTACGATGTAACTTAAGTGGCAGTAGTGCAACCGACAAAGAATGCGGCGCTAGTTTCAAACTATCTAGTTTCAACGTAAGACTTAAGGTATACTTTACACCATACTTTACGATCGAACTTACGCTAAGCTGGTGCAACCCACCACTGGAGGGTGCATGGGAGTTTGCCCAACCAGTCTACATGTGCTTTGTGGACTTGGAAAAGGCATTCGACCGCGTCCCTCTGGGAGTCCTGTGGGGAGTGCTCCGGGAGTATGGGGTGCCGGACTGCCTTATAAGGGATGTTCGGTCACTGTACAACCGGTGTCAGAGCTTGGTCTGCATTGCCGGCAGTAAGTCGGACTCATTCCCGGTGAGAGTTGGACGGTGTGGAGTGTGAAGCGGCTGGAATGAAAATCAGCACCTCCAAATCCGAGACCATGGTCCT